TCGATTTTCCGTGGCATGATGAAGGCACAGAAAGGATGTGTTGACACACTTTGATTTTCAATTTTTTTCCTTTTTGTAGAGTTCCCATATAAATAGAACATTAGTCATTGTCTTTAGATAAATCTTAATTATCAAATTTTTTACAAAATATAATAACTGAACGTAGACAACGGTACAGAAGCTTGTTTTTGATATTTTAACTACTAAGAAACAGTGATACCACACATTAGGGACTACTGAATTTTTTCCAAACAATATAGAATGTAACAGTTGAATTCATCAGACGATCTAAGTTAGACCACTATTAAAAACTTGGAAGTACTGGACTGCCGTTACATTCCAGTTTGGGACTCCACTAACCCTGATTCTAATAATAATCATATGCACACTAGTGACTGGTTTCAAGATGGATTTCCTGAAATTCTAGTGGGAAGCCGTGACCAGTGGAGTTCAGCCGTGTCTGTTATGAGCCAGTTACTCACTGGAGACAACAGTGGATGGTTGCACAATATCGTGGATTGGTTGAAGCTAGACATTAATACCGTTGGATGCTGGCTGGATCAGTGGTCTAGAGGCTAAACGTTCTCACACAAGTATAAAGGTCCTGAATACGAGTCCACTGTGCAGGATCGTGGATGCGCACTGTTGAGAAGTCTCATACTAGGACGAAACGGCCAACCGGTATTTTCAGGTTCTTAGTGGTTGTTTAGCTCAGATCAACTCGTGAATTCAATTGTTACAACAATACAATTTACGCACACCCCCATTCTGACACTATAGACTGTGGTAACTAGACTAGCCGGGTAAATTGAGAAATTATTTCACAGTTTGAAATAAATAATCTAATAAACCATTCCAACAATGTGAAACACTTTTTAGATAGATATGTAAGATAGACATCTCCAATAACCTTATTTAACACAAAGCGTAGTAAGAAAACGTATTCAGTTTGTTTATAGTTTGAATGTTCTACTATAGTTCGGTTTTGTATGTATTTTAATCATACATTACATAACTCTATCAAACTGATAATTCTGAGTTTATCAGTCTTATCAATTATGGTTTTACATTGTAATCAAGATTAAAATGAATTTCTACAATTTCACTTTTGTTTGCATATCCTGAAAAAATTGTTGACTAATTCATCCTAATCTTTAATTAAGTACAGTTTATTATATTTTCACTTTATCAAGAGATGTTAATCAAACGCCTAAAAGCCATCTACATGTTCCTTACAAATGTGTAGATACTTTTTCTGAATAATAACAAAACAATGATGTACTTGTGGTATTCCACTTTGTAAACATTTCACTTTTAGACGTTTCACAACATATTCGAAGTTACTTTTTCAGAAAGCCCATGGTATTTTTCTCATGTGAATGAACAGTTACTGAAGCGTTTGTGTCAAAGCATATGCTATGCGCATTGAGCAATTTGAACAGAACTGAATGATATTTTATCCAATCATAAACAAGCATATTTTCTACATCCGATTTATTTTTAAATGTATTGAAATATATATATATATATATATTTTTGTATTTTTTTAGTCAATCACATGGAAACGGACACCAAAGTAAGTCAAAACGCAATATATTTTGACATGAATTACCATTTACCTTTTATAATTTATTCAAAAAATATTTCGGTAAAAGAAAAATTATTAACTTAGTACTTCTATTTTAAATGTGCCATTATTTAGTGAAGATATTGATTTCATCAGTCATATTAATATGAAACTCTTAACATTTATTAATCATCATAAATGTGAATTGAATTCCATGGACTTTAATTTCTCATACAATTACTTTTATTATCTCATACTTTTATCATTTATTTTCAGTTAAGCAATATTTTGTGGTTTTTCAGTTACTTACTTACACCTGTTACTCCTAATGGAGCATAGGCTGCCCACCAGCATTCTCCAACCCACTCTGTCCTGGGCCTTCTTTTCTAGTTCCATCCAATTCTTGTTCATTTTTCTCATGTCTATTTCCATTTCTCGGCGTAATGTGTTCTTTGGTCTTCCTCTTCTCCTTTGGCCTTGAGGGTTCCATGTGAGGGCTTGTCTTGTGACGCAGTTGGGTGCTTTCCTCAATGTGTGTTCTATCCACTTACAGCCTCTTTTCCTGATTTCTTCCTCCGCTGGGATCTGGTTTGTTCTATCCCACAGTAGGTTGTTACTAATAGCACACAAACAATAATTTATAATAATCATTATTTATAATTAAGTAATATTTATTCATTTTGATCGTTTTTACGGTTATACACAATAAGCGTTGGCGTTATTTCCAGTCATCATAATTTCGGTTTTAAATAGTTTACTGTTCATCCTGTACTTTATCTTTTATGCAATGTATAGTGAGCTAGTGAATGATTTTCGTCACAGATTTAAATCACTTAAGTAACTGTAAAAACTAGGGAATGGATAGTGTTTATTTAGTCATAGTATTAGATACTAAAGAGTCTATTTGGCTTGAAGCTTCAAGTTTTTAAGCAATGACTAATGAGCAATAGCGGCTGGTAAATTTCAATTATGTCCAGGCTAAGTTGAATACCGTGTAATTAAATAATTATCTCGTTATATTGAGAAATAAATGAAGTTAAAATTGTAAACTATTGAATTCTAATTCAGTTTTTATTGCAAGTTGCATTCACCACAATGCAGAAAACAAAAATCTTTCGTTCAGTATTCAGTTAATGTTTATGTATATTATTGATTTACTAAGATAAAATAGCTATGTAAAGTTTCCTTGATATTTTAATGGTTACCAATGACATCAGTCGACAACAAAAAATAATCTCAATGACACTTTACACACTAATATTTAACAAAAAAAATGATTTTATTCTATCACATTCAAGTAATTCTTTCCTTAATTCAATTATCCTATTCATCATTGAATATTTATATTCCATTGTTTAATAGTCTTTTGTTAACCACTTAATTATTACAATTTTGTCTAGTGAAATTGTTCACATTTTTATTTTGTTAGAAATAAATACAAGAATCAATTGCGAACAAAATGAATTTATACAGACAATGAATAAAACAATTTTTGATTTGTTTATCTATTTAAAGGTATAATAATGATGAAACTTCCTAGACAGTTTCCTTTCACTTTCAAAAAAAAATGTGTTCATATTGTTACATAATTATGCAGTAACTACCAAAGTGAGGAGGGGGGTATGCATATTCTTTATACATTCTCAGTCAATAATATAATTTTAATAGTTGAGATCATGAGTCAATTGAAGCTAGACCGCCATGGAAAACCTGGAAGACTGTTTCGTCCTAGTATGGGATTCCTCAGCAGTGCGTGTCCACGATCCCGCCTCGCGAGATTCGAACCCAGAATCTATCAGTTTTGTGCGTGAGCGCTTAACCACTAGACCACTGAGCCGGCCAGCATCCAACGGTGTTAATGTCTAACTCCAACCAATCCACGAAATTGTGCGACATGTTAACCATTGTCTTCAGTGAGTTACTATCTCATAACAGACCTGGTTGAACTCCATCGGTCACTGCTTCTCATCAGAACTCCAGGAAATACCTCTTGAAGCTAGGAACTACTGAGCATATGTTGATTCATGTGAGAAGAGGTTTTGTGGATATTGTATTAATTTCAGTGGTTGAGATCATGAGTCAATTAAAGCTAAACCACTATGGGAAACCTGAAGAATTGGATGTCCGTTTTGTCCTAGTATGGGACGCCTCAGCAGTTCGCATCCATTATCCCGCCACGCGAGATTTGAACCCAGAATATATCAGTCTTGTGTGTGATCGCCTAACCACTAGACCAATTAACATAAAATGACAAAGTTAAGAGGTGTCTAATTTGTCTGTTATATATGTATATTACTTTTTTATTCAGTTGACCATTTTAATTATTAAATTAAATTTCAAATCATAAAATTGATATAAGTTAAAATACCATATAATATTAGAGGTTACAATCACTGTAAGACATAGGTAGTTCAGAATGATAACAATGAGTAACAAGATGTGAATTCGTTGATAAATATTTCTTGTGACCTTATAAATGAGAAACAATGATAACTATACAGAGCTCTTTTGATGTTCAATATTCCAAATAATATTAGTGTATAACAAAAAACATCTGGAAGTTAAATTGAAGAATCTTAACAAATCTTCAATATTAGTAATAATTACATATTTACTGTATTTTATACTGACGTCAATTGGTGATAAATAATTATGTTCAATGTATACAAGAATATTCATTAGTTATACATCAGAAATAAATTTGTAGATGTCAATCTCAATGTTACCATAGTGATTACATTATTCTATATTATATGCATTCATTATATATGCAACATAAATATTTCATGATCATAGTGCATTCTTTTTTTGGACTTACTTCAAACTGAGCCCCAATCACCTTTTATTTCCAACCAGTGTAACTCTTTTGATTAGTTTTTCTTTGAAGAATACGTGATTTATGGATAGCGATTCTTTATTGTTTGAAGATCTGTGTAACCGGACATTGTTCAATTTTCTATTCTCTGTCCTATGCATTCAGTTTCATTGGATTATTATGCATTTAGAATATAATTACAGCATTCATTTTTTAACATTAAAAGTGTCTTATTCAAGATTTTATATTTCAACATTACACGCTGTTATTGCTTGGTATTTAAATGTTAAATCTTCAACTTTTAGTCCAATACATATTTAGTTCTGTCAAGACAGTTTTGGATCACTTAGATCGATTATAAGACCATGTAAATTCACTTGAATTCATGTGCTCTGAATCTTTCACATATGGATTATTTTGTATCAATAAGATGTTGTTACTAAAACCTTTTACAAAAGTCAGTTTATATGAAGTATCGACCAATAAGACAGGTTTATTTACTTTAAGAACTGTTGGGGACGATACATCCCCAAAACTCAAATTTTGTAATTTACATATCGATTAAATGTGCAGATAGGTCAATTGATGAACTATCGATTAAATGTACAAATATGTCAATTGATGAACTATCGATTAAATGTTCAAATAGCAGTCAATTGTTGATTAATGTTCAAAAATCTTCCATGACAATATCGATTGTAAATATTTGTATAAATACGCTTGACTTGTATGCTTGATCTGATCTGCCTGCCTGACTTGTTATCTGATGTTTGTCTGTAGAATACACTTTCTACACCTTACCCAGACTTCTTGATCGAGTTAGCAGAGTTGGGGACAACGGACCAGAATAGTGTATCGAGTCGCTGAATCATTGATCCTTCGTTCGTTCGAGTAAGACGCATCAGTAATCGCATTCAAGCAATAACGAAGTATAACAAATTGGCGACGGGGTGAAGAAAAGATACAATCCAAAGTCATTCTGTAATTGGACGAAATCCAGTCTAATTATCCAACCAATCAGTATCCAGATTGTCATCAGTGTCCTTGAACCACATTGGTCGTTACTCATACAGTAATTTTCACCACAGGTGCTGATTCAAAAAAATGACTCTCCCTCCCGATCGATTACAGCTGCTCTTTGAACGACATTTGAAGTTATTAGTCAAATTCCGCACGCAGCTGCTAAATCACTCATGCTATGAAGACGCGACGGAAGTGGATGGATTGATATCTGAAATACACAGTGAGCTGGAAAATGACAGCAGCCTCCATGAATCCTCGATGAACTGTACTTCAAACGAAACAGTCATCCATCATGCGCCCAGTGGTCCAGTACTTTCTATTCCAGAAACATGCCCGGTAATGGAGTCAAACTCCATCAACCCCGAAACAGCATGTGCAGACAGTAACATATCCAGCTCACGAGAAGATCTCACTGTTTTACCAGAAAATATGTCAGATGCATCAAATGATGATCAAAAACTTAATACAATTTTGATAGATGCTAATTACCTTGATGATCGATTATCTACAAATAAGATTCCAAATAAATTTGGTCACAATATTTCAGAAGAATTAAACTTCGAACACCTCATATCAAGTGTCGTTCAGCCTCAAGACTTAGTCACTTTCAGTCAATTCTCTGTTCAGTGCGATAAATATGTCTTAAATAAATTCAAGTTAATTATAACGTGGGCATATGAGGATCCAACACTGTTTCGTGGGGGAGGATGGACCTGGAAAACTTAAAATCCGGATATCAACTCCGGATCTTCTAAAAAGGGGAGGAGTGTTGGGGACGATAGATCCCCAAAACTCAAATTTTGTAATTTACATATCGATTAAATGTGCAGATAGGTCAATTGATGAACTATCGATTAAATGTACAAATATGTCAATTGATGAACTATCGATTAAATGTTCAAATAGCAGTCAATTGTTGATTAATGTTCAAAAATCTTCCATGACAATATCGATTGTAAATATTTGTATAAATACGCTTGACTTGTATGCTTGATCTGATCTGCCTGCCTGACTTGTTATCTGATGTTTGTCTGTAGAATACACTTTCTACACCTTACCCAGACTTCTTGATCGAGTTAGCAGAGTTGGGGACAACGGACCAGAATAGTGTATCGAGTCGCTGAATCATTGATCCTTCGTTCGTTCGAGTAAGACGCATCAGTAATCGCATTCAAGCAATAACGAAGTATAACAAATTGGCGACGGGGTGAAGAAAAGATACAATCCAAAGTCATTCTGTAATTGGACGAAATCCAGTCTAATTATCCAACCAATCAGTATCCAGATTGTCATCAGTGTCCTTGAACCACATTGGTCGTTACTCATACAGTAATTTTCACCACAGGTGCTGATTCAAAAAAATGACTCTCCCTCCCGATCGATTACAGCTGCTCTTTGAACGACATTTGAAGTTATTAGTCAAATTCCGCACGCAGCTGCTAAATCACTCATGCTATGAAGACGCGACGGAAGTGGATGGATTGATATCTGAAATACACAGTGAGCTGGAAAATGACAGCAGCCTCCATGAATCCTCGATGAACTGTACTTCAAACGAAACAGTCATCCATCATGCGCCCAGTGGTCCAGTACTTTCTATTCCAGAAACATGCCCGGTAATGGAGTCAAACTCCATCAACCCCGAAACAGCATGTGCAGACAGTAACATATCCAGCTCACGAGAAGATCTCACTGTTTTACCAGAAAATATGTCAGATGCATCAAATGATGATCAAAAACTTAATACAATTTTGATAGATGCTAATTACCTTGATGATCGATTATCTACAAATAAGATTCCAAATAAATTTGGTCACAATATTTCAGAAGAATTAAACTTCGAACACCTCATATCAAGTGTCGTTCAGCCTCAAGACTTAGTCACTTTCAGTCAATTCTCTGTTCAGTGCGATAAATATGTCTTAAATAAATTCAAGTTAATTATAACGTGGGCATATGAGGATCCAACACTGTTTCGTGGGGGAGGATGGACCTGGAAAACTTAAAATCCGGATATCAACTCCGGATCTTCTAAAAAGGGGAGGAGTGTTGGGGACGATAGATCCCCAAAACTCAAATTTTGTAATTTACATATCGATTAAATGTGCAGATAGGTCAATTGATGAACTATCGATTAAATGTACAAATATGTCAATTGATGAACTATCGATTAAATGTTCAAATAGCAGTCAATTGTTGATTAATGTTCAAAAATCTTCCATGACAATATCGATTGTAAATATTTGTATAAATACGCTTGACTTGTATGCTTGATCTGATCTGCCTGCCTGACTTGTTATCTGATGTTTGTCTGTAGAATACACTTTCTACACCTTACCCAGACTTCTTGATCGAGTTAGCAGAGTTGGGGACAACGGACCAGAATAGTGTATCGAGTCGCTGAATCATTGATCCTTCGTTCGTTCGAGTAAGACGCATCAGTAATCGCATTCAAGCAATAACGAAGCATAACAAGAACAGAACTCATCAATACTTTTCATGATCAAACGAATTAAATTTACACACAAATCGATTGAGTGAGAGAGATTTCGACATTATCAACCGTAAAGGACACATGCCAATAGATAGTAATGACGACACAATGGTTAATGTATCATAATGATTGTCGCCCTAATACTGATGGCCTTAGTTGATATGTCCAATTTGGTAGTAGTTAAAACGTTTATTTCCTAGTATCAAACACACTTACGTTAACAATAGTATCAATAATCATGGAAATAAAGTCAGAAATGAACTATAAAAATTCTTGCTGTAATTGAAAGATGGGTGGTGGAGCAAACGGAGGATCTTTATTAAAGCTACAAGTCAAAAGCCAGGACATTAAAAAAATATCTCAGAGATTGATATTCATCACCAAAATGGTCCACGTTGGACCAAATCGTTTGAGAGCATAAGTCCAGATCTTTGCTTCTGTAATAATATATTATTGTTCTACTCGATACCTATTAAAGACGCTGTGAATGGGCTTAATAAATGACCAATTAAAGGGTTGAATATAGTTAGCAAGAAACCCTAAACATAGATTTCGTCCTAGTTGGCACTCATCAACAAGGCTCCCGAGTAATTTACTTAAAAGGAGTGCTAATATATGTGAGATTAAAACTCAAAGTAACCAATTTCACGCTCTTGAATTTCACTACTGACGTGTTCAAGTGTCGACTGACCTTCTTTAGGACTGCGGTATTTACAGTTGTCCTGTCAATTAGTAGTAACCGATCTCTGAATTTGTTCAGCAACAACGTATAAATAAACATGATATTCCTCATTAGTCAGTGACCAATCAATCACAACTAATAAACCTGTATGTCTAACGTATATACATTTTACATTTATAGACAGCCTTATATAATTCATTGCCAAATTCTCTGTCACGTGTTAATAATTTCCATTTTTCTCTCCATCTTTCACTAAACTGTAATTTCTCAGCATCAACGAACTAAATCGAAACAAAGCAGTGATATATATATACATAGCCGTCTCGCGAAATAGTAATTCACTGAAGACAATGATGAACGTGTCGCTTAATTTCATGGATTAGTTGACGTTAGACATTAACACCGTTGGATGCTGGCAGGCTCAGTAGTCTAGACGTTAAGTGTTTGAGCGTGAGACTGATAAGTCATGGGTTCGTAGATGCGCATTGCTGAAAAGTCCCACATTAGGACGGAATAGTCGTTCAGCGTTTCCAGGTTTTCCATAGTAGTCTAGCTTCAGTTGATTTATGATCTCAACTACTAAACTAAAAATTATTGTCTATAAAAATAAAAAATGAAATATTGAATCACATTACAAATTTTCTCTAATTGATTAGTTACGTTTTTTTATATTCAAAATTATAAGTAAATCAGTATATGCGCTCCTTTGAAAATGAAATGTGCCATTAACCCAAATCATGTTATTATTTAATTCATCAGTTAGTCACTCAATTTTTTTTCTAAAATGTTTAATAGACATTATAAGAAAATGTTTGTATGTGATAGTTTATATAAACAAATAGGACGGGGTCTTTATTGCAACTATTACTTATAATCTTATGTTACTAGTGCATAACTTAATTAGATACATTTAAGAAGCAGTAAGTAGAGAAAAAAGTATTGTTTTATTTGCGTACTATTACAGAGTTTTCTAAAGCAATTTCTTTATGATATGTATGACTATGAAATGAAAACCCATTGCTTTGCAAAACAATAAACTTAAAGTAATTTTCCTTACGGATTAACTTTAGCTTGAGAATCAATAGAAACCAAGGTGCACAAAACAACTGTCACATCCTATTTTAGAACTCTGTCAGGAATTATAGCCAAATATTTCATAGCGAGTATTTAACAATTGAACTTCATTTGGTTCTGAATATAAACGGAAAATTGTACTATGATTTTATAATCTAACAGTAACTTTCCCACCACGATCTCTGATGATTCTGGTTTAATCTCTCACAAATTCATGAGTAGATACTAATAAGGTTCTCAAGCTAAAAAAACAATTGTTAAGTTCTTATCAGTTTTCAATAGTTCATTGGCCAACATCAAATTGAATTATTGAACATAATTTACTCAACTCTATGAAACGAATACCCAAAAGAACAACACGAATTATAAAGTGTATTATACATAAAGTTATCGAAATTTGGGTTTCGCCGATTACATAGTGATCTAAAGTTAAGATTATTTATTGTAAAATTTTGTGGATCCCTAGAATATTATCCCAATGTTCAATTTTTAGCCCGCATTCACGCTGTATGATAACTGTTTAATGATTTTCTGAGTTTTTTTTTGTATTATAGGTAAGTGTGGACAATACATTTGAAAAATATATTGAAATGTTTCTATTTTAGACTCTATCAATGTCACTGAAACTTTGAAACATCCTTCAGAAAACATAAACAATAGTACACTCTCAGTCAAATATGGTTTAAAAAATAGTTGTCAATCACCAAATGAAAGTTTATCATTTAAGTTAAAAAATCAGTTTTTTCATCGATTTTTGAAATATTCATCGAAATTTGGCGGTTTTACAAGATCAGAAAATAATTCACCATCATTATTATCATCCTCAACATCACCGATTCACCCAAATCCACAACCACTTAAAAATGCTTATACATCTAGATACAGTGCTTGGGATCCTGTAAGTGATTAGTTAATTTTCTTTTGATAATTAACACGAGCTAAATGTTATGTAATTATAATGATAATTAATTTTAGTAGTATTCCAGTTCAATGTGATATGTTTGTGTTGAGTGAAAACTGTAATTTACTGGTTAAATAAACGTTAATTACTCAGCTGGTAATAATCAATGAAATCTTGTTTAGTATAAATATTTCAACATTACAGCAGATCAATCATAGCCTAAATTGCCAGATGATAATGTTTCTAACAGTAATACTAGTTCGAATCCTAGTAGACATCTCTCTTCTTTAAAGATGACATATAAATCTATACAATGGATTCCATCTATCATCAAACTTGGATTCATTATTTTCTTTCAGACTGTTATTAACATACTAACGTCGAACGTAAAAATATTTTATAAATATTTTCAAAAATGCGACAAACCAATCTTTTAAGTAATCATTAATCTTTCCTCTATTATAAAGCAAGAATTTGTTCATAGTCCCAGTTCATACTTCTGAAAGTATCAACAAGTTTACTAGGTAAATGTTTAATGACAATAAACTAAACTTGACGATTTACATCTTAGATGATGAAAAGTAGTGTAGTGTACCAAAAGTGAAAACGAACCAATGACATTTAAGGTTTTTCAATGTCGGAAACACAAACTAACAGTTAAAATGGGAGCTTTTGGTTTGGAAATGAGAAATTCAAATTTCTATGATAAAATTACAAAAATGAGTTTACCAAGTAGTTTCTAGGGATATGACATTCCAACAGATACATGGTAGAACATGTGATATTATAAACATTCGCCTCTCAAATAGTAGTGTAGTACTTCACAAAATGTTTGAAAAATAGTCATGATCGTCGCTGAAAGTGAATTCAATGAATCTCTAGGTATGTA